TTTGTCTGTCTGTCTGTTGGTATGTTTGCACGCACATCAGCCAAAAACTAATGGATGAAATTGAATGCACGGGGCTATTCGGAAATGCACAAAAACCAAGCATCATCAGTGTCTTTCTAAACTATAATTGATGGAAATGCGCAATATGCGCAAACGCGGTTAGGTGTCGAATTGGAACTAAGTTGCGCAAATTGTTTATATTTATATTTATTATAGTTTAGAAGTAAAAGACACTGATGCTTTGGTTTGCTGCATTTCCGAATAGGGTACACTTTTCACCGCTGCACTGCTAGAGGTCCAATTTAAAATATTGAAAACAATATAAGGGAGGCCATTTTTGTAAATTTCAGTTAAAGTAAATTGATAAGATAAAGTAAATGTTGAAGTTTGGCTGTAAAAAGTAAAAGGTTAAAGAAAGCCTACTGCCACAGCTACACAAAGGCGTTGGGCTGAGCGTTTTCTGACGCCTAGCGTTAACTCCGAAATGCAATATCTAAACAAAATCGGCAACGCTACGTCAAATGAAGAAATAACACCAATAAGCATATGATTGTTTGTGTGAACTACGAAAGTTACAGTTTCGCCGTTTTCTGCAGCCAACTTCATTTCCTAACGCCCTGTCAACATCGGATTTTCTAATCGCTAAGCGTGTACGCCGCGTTATTTCGGTATGCTTCATACAAATTGTATGGGCATGAGAATTTTTTTACAGCCAGATGGCTTTTAAACGCAAAAATATTTTTTGGGAGGTTGCCACCTGTTTGAAAATTTTAATTTAATTTAATTATTAAATACTCGCAAATACTCGGCATGCTTCGCTGCTCCTTAAAAGTATTTTTGTTTTGTTACTCTCACAAAATTTGAAAATATTAGTTGATACTGCAGTACATATTTGTATAGTAGGCAAATTTTTTTCAAATTATGTAAATATACGGTATTTGATTATTGAATTACTACACGTTTGAGGAAAGGGTGCGATAGTAGACTCCAGTTATAAGAGTATAAATTAAATTTCCAAGAGATAGTCGGTACTTTATATATTTTCTGATTACCTTCGAATAGATATTAACTAACACCCATACTCGAAAAAAATAAACAATTCTTCATAGATCGAAATTTGTTTTTTAAATCTAACCTCATAAAGGTCTTTAAATATATTTTATAAATGAGGCCATACGAGTTTTGAGAGAGAGTTACAACACAAAAATACATTTAAGGCGCAGCGAAGCACGCCGGGTAATTGCTAGTTATTAACCCTGGACAGTCATCGTTTTTTTTGTACATTAACGTCATCCTTCGTCATTTTGACGACAACTAATTTGAAATCCAAATTAAATGGATAGTGAGCATAAATAATGTGAATAATTGATTTTATTCTTTTTAATAAGGAAATAATAACAATGAAAAATTGATATTAAAAAGGGAACATATATTCTTTAAACTTAAAATCAATATTTCACAGAACAATAAAAACTTAGTAACAATGAAAATAACATCGTGCGTAGTCGTTTTGACGAAAGATGACGGTTTAGGATTAATAAGGATACTGGCTATGTTATGGCTCACTTATATTCTATGCCCTTTCTGATAACGAAAGTTCTGCCACGTTTGCACGAAAAATTGTTTTTGGAGTCTAGGGAGAGTTTTGTTAAATGAATAAAGAAAACACTGAAAATCGGGACTAAATCGGTACAAATATGAAAAATCGGGGCACTATACGTCCTGTCTTTTAAAAAATATTCAGCGGGACTTTGTCTTCTTCTTTATTGGCGCTGTAACCGCCTAAGCGATTTTGGTCGAGTTCAAAACAGCACGCCAGTAATTTCTCTTCTGTGATAACTGACGCCAATTGGAAATGCCGAGTGAAGCCAAGTCCTTCTACACCTGGTCTTTCCAACGCAGAGGAGGCCTTCCTCTTCCTCTGTTACCAGCATCGCGGCCCGCGTTGAATATTTTCAGAGCAGGAGCGTTTCTGTCAATTCGAACGACATTTTCTCAAAATTGGTACTGTCCCGCCAAAATCGGTACTAATTGTTATCGTATATATAGGACTAGGCTTGATGGGATTTTTTATCGGGTAAATAAAAAAAAAACATATTTCTTTAAATTTTTTTAAATTTGACCATCGACAATTTCCACACTTCCAAAATATGGAGTAATATCTAAAACTAATATATTTTGAAATAAACTGATACCTTATATATTGTAACCGCATATAAATTGTCGAATTTAGGCGACTTTTCTTAAATACGGCCTGGAATTTATATGTGTGTATGTACCAGAATTTCAGATTTTTAGAGCAGTGTGGCTTAGGAGTTCATTAATATTTATTCAAAACTGATACATACAATCGCTCTTTAGTAAAAAACGGGGGTTTCTAGAAATTTTAGGAAAATGGGGGTGGTTTTTGTGTTTCCCAAAAACTACTCGACCAAATTTGGTACAAACATTGTGCTTAGCCTCCTTAAATACTGTCTTGAACATTTTTGAAATCGGAAAAAACCTACTACTCCTAAAATACAGCAAGCTTTGAGTTTTTTGAAATTACCGTTATGTTGGTGGAGCCCGCGGTTTTAGTCATATTTCAAAAATTTTCAATATGGCTCTTAAGAAGCCTAAGTGCAATGCGTTCACGAAATTTGGTTGAGATAAGTCAAGTAGTTTTTGAGATACACATATGATATAACTGGGCGGTGCCACCCCCATTTTCCTAAAATTTCCTGAAACACTACTTTTTTTTGCTAAGAGCGATTGTATATACTTTTAATAAATATTGATGAATTCCTTAGCCACATTGGTCAAAAAACCTGAAATTCCGGTACATAATAGTAATAGATTGGCGCTTACACATATGTTAGTGTTTGGCCGAGCTCCTCCTCCGATTTGTGGCGTGCGCCTTGATGTTGTCACACAGAGGGAAGTGACCTACAGCGATTGTATTTTTATGAGAAACTCTTTTTTTCATGGCAGAAATACACTCGGAGGGTTGCCATTGCCTGCCGAGGGGCGACCGCTGTTAAGAAAAAACCTTTTTTCTACATTTTTTTTTGCGATGTTGCATTGACCAGGGCTTGAACCCAGGCACTGCTTACCACTACATCACAGCGGCCGGTACATACACACATATAAATTCAAGGCCGTATTCAAGAAAAGTCGCCTAACTTCGAAAATGTTAATGCGATTGTAATAAATGAGGTATCAGTTTATTTGAAAATAGATTTTATTTTAGATAGTATTCCAAATTCTGAAATTGTAGAAATTATCGATGGTCTAAATTAAAAAAACTAAGTGAAATATGGGTCTTTTTTTAATTTACCCAATAAAAAATCCCAACAAGCCTAGTCCGACAATAGATTATTATATATCATTTTAAAGGCCTATATATCCTCTTCTCTTGACCTTTAAAACATCTATAAAAATATTACTCATAGAAACGAATAGTAGTAGTCTTGAAATTTCCAAAAAAGCATTTTATATGGGCAGCCTAATGTACATACCGATTTTTAAGTAAAATCTAAGTACTTTAATACATATGTATATATGTATGTTTGTATAAAAACTGATTCATAAAAATTTTAATATTTTAAGACAGTCTGTATTTGAGCCATGCTTTTTTCAGTTGGACGGATTTCGTAAAACAAATTATGTCATGTCTCCGATTCGCTTCAATAAAGGCGTGGAACACAAGTTGTTAACGAAGCGATATTCTGTCGAAATCCGCAATAAAATCTGCGTTTTGCTAACTTTAGTCCTGCAATTACCACGCCAATTTCTAGGAGCTTGTCGCCTTAAAGAAAAATCTTGCCGTACAAATATTATATCTGGATAGGTATTCTATCGGAATCCGCAATAAAATTTTACTTTTTGCAAAAACCCGATGTTTGACACCTTAATAAATATATATCAACATAAGTTTTTGAAAACAAAAAATTGTTGATTCTCACAAAATAAACCATCTCGTCATAAATAAAAATATTTTAAAAATAGTTTTTGAAAACCGCTCATTTTTTCTAAACATAAATAGCTCAGTTATACTTGGGACAATCTTGACCATCTTATACATATATACAAATGTTAAACCCGTTTCTTTAGCTTTAAAATGACGAAGTCTCTACGATGAGCAGAACCCGAGATATAACGATTTCAAGAAGCACATGATTAGTCAGAATCACGAAAAAATGCATGCTTTGACAGATCCGAAGAAAAAAAAGAAAAAAAGCACGTGTTAGCTTATTTCATATTTAGAACCCATAAAAAACATTTTAACCCAATCGAAAGTGTGGCACCAAATTTGGTGTCCGATATGAAAAAGAATGTCTCATTTTCCGTTTTAAATTTAATATATGTACATCAGTATGTACTTATCTAGGCATTCTACAATAGTTTCTCTGTAAGGCATTCTTTGTTCGCTTCTCTGGATTTTGTTTATCCATGCGTTCTCCCTTCGTTCGAAGGTAATGCAGCGGGTAAGGGCTTACGGCCAATGACATGCTCATGTTAACATAATGCTTTCTTGAAGCGAAAGGGTAAGCGATTCCCATCTTCTATTTCGATTGCATCTTAATTTCTGTGAAAATCATGTTTTTTGCTGGGAAAGTACCTATGTTCTCTGTGCTAATGCAAGCAACCAAAACTGCTAGTGCAGCAGCTTCGCCGGTTCCATTAACAGATACCTTGTGGGTAGTATAAGTTATACTTATTTTGTGTTAGTAGATTTAGTGTTCGTTTTGGTACTCATAGGCTCAGCCAACTGCTGACCAAAATTACAAATATTGTTAAATAAACAGTAAAGTTGTTTTTTATTTGACATATCTAGCGCCAGAGCAATCAGGTCCATATTAGTTACCGTCAAAAATCGAATCGATGGTATTTATTCAGAAACTTAATGGGACCAGTCAATTGGATAGAAAATTTCCAGCCGGGTACTTTCACATATTTAATACGATTTTTAGAAGTTTCCTAAGAATAAAACAAACCGTTTTTTTTTATTAATCTCTTAGGCTTCTATCAATGGTTTGACTGGACGCGTTAACTTTGCTGAGGGCCGTCGGAATAAATTTCAAATTGATTTACTTAAACTCAAGCGTGACAAGATTCAAAAAGTTGGTTTCTGGAAGCCAGAAGTTGGAGTTAACATTACTGATCCGACTGCCTTCTATGATGTTCATACCGCCAATACTACTCTGGTTGTAATGACGCGAGAAGAGAAACCTTATGTAATGGTTAAAAATGGCGTTAATAAAACTGGCAATGTTCGTTTTGAAGGATTTTGTATCGATTTACTAAAGGCTATTGCTAAACAAGTTGGATTTCAATACAAAATCGAATTGGTCCCAGATAATATGTATGGGGTTTATAATCCAGATACAAATATTTGGAACGGCATTGTTCGAGAGCTTATGGAACGGGTAAGTTCTCATTGTAATATAAGTAATCTAAACAAAATTTAACACATCTTTTAAGAACAATATTAATCTAACCAGTTGAGTTAATAACCCAGCAAATACGTATATGTTTGCTTATCAAATTTCTAGCGGGCTGACCTGGCAGTCGCTTCGATGACTATAAATTATGCTCGTGAAAGCGTCATCGATTTTACTAAACCCTTCATGAATCTCGGGATCGGGATCTTATTTAAGGTATTTATAATTCACCTCTCCAAGAACATGCTGTATCAATATACAAATAAATTGCTTATATGGGTGATTATTTGTACAAATCGTAGGGACTCGAACAAAAAAACTAAATTTTGAACCATTTTTCCAATCGAAAAATTGAATATTAAGAAAATTTACTATTTCGCAGTTTCTTTTATCCTCCCATTCGGCTTTGTTTACTTTTACTTGAAAAGTGTTATCGTCGGCAGGAATGCGCAATCGTGTATTCTCTTGACACAAAAGTTCCCTGCGTTGAAACCGCGAGCTAGTGAGTCAAATTTCCAGTTCCGTACTAGATCTTTATCGCCAAAAACGAACCATTCCGATGCTTACTACACCATTTCCAGTTGGAAAGGAGAAAGCGTCAAATGAAAATGCGTAAGCGGCATTTTAAAATGAGAGTAGTCAATTATAAATGCGAAAGCGTCATTTGGAAGTAAGAATAGTCAATTTTAAATAAGAAAGCGTCCAATGAAAATGCGAAAGCGTCATTTAGAAATGAAATTTGTCAATTGGAAATGAGATTAGTCATTTGAAAATGCGAAAGCGTCATTTAGAAATGAGAATAGTCAATTTTAAATGCGAAAATGTCATTTGGAATTGAGAATACTCAATTGTAAATGGGAAAGTGTTAAACTAAAATACGAAAGCGTTATTTGGAATTGTAAATGAGAAACTCGTGTTTATTCGAAAATTGTTTAGTACGGATACTTATTATTAACAAGTACTTAAAAAAAAAAAACGACTTCTAACTAGAAACAGCGTTCACAGATCAAAACAAACTTTGCAAATGAATTGTAATAAAATTTGCTATCTGTTACTTATAATTATTTTTTCATTAAAATTACACGTTTACAATTAATAAAAAAGAAGAAGGGAACATTTTGGATCTACACATATTGCAAAAAATACATGGCGCGCACCAGGGAACTGCAATTATTCGTGTTTTAAAGTACATAATTGGTTGAATAACACAAGAAATAGTGTTAGTGGATATTAGTCATTAAAGAATATTCACACGTATGCACTTACACTATTTTATGCGCCCCGGCTAGCCAAACAGAGAGCATTCCGAAATAAGGATCCGAACACAGTCTTAATTTTGAGCTTGTTGGGATTGTTTTTTTGTAATCTTCAAAATATGCGCCTTTTTCTGAGGGCTTTTAGATCAATGAGCGTTAATGTTCATTTATGGGAGCGTTTTTGAGCATTCGTCTAACGGGACTTAAAAATAACTTGCAGCGACATTTGCAAAAGTGAAGTTTATAAGAACAGTTTTAAGTCAATTCTTGAGCCGTTAACGTGTGTATATTTTTTTTAATAAAAGAGGTGAATAATTATAAATATTTTTAAAAGCATGTCCAGAAACCTTTGCAGGAAGGAAGCTGCTGAAATCGTAGATTATATTAAAAAAAAAGAAAACATGTGTTTATTGTGTTTGATTTATACGGTTTTTGTCCAAAAATAAACTATATTTTTTATACAAAAATAACTTAAGTAAATAAATTGTTAAAACTTGTCAATATGTGGTACGCTTATAATTTTGGCACAGGATGTATAGTATGATTGTATATAGCATATGTATTTATATTTTTAATTATTAAAAAACTGTATATTTTAATAATAATAATAATAATAGATTGGCGCTTACACATATGTTAGTGTTTGGCCGAGCCTCTCCTCCGACTTGTGGCGTGCGCCTTGATGTTGTCACACAAAGCGGAGGGACCTACAGTTTTACGCCGACTCCGAACGGCGATTGTATTTTAATGAGAAGCTGTTTTTCATGGCAGAAATACACTCGGAGGTTTGCCATTGCCTGCCGAGGGACGACCGCTGTTAAGAAAAAACCTTTTTCAATTTTTTTTTGCGATATTGCTTTGACCAGGGGTTGAACCCAGGTGCTGATGAATGAAAGCGCGCACTGCTTGCCACTACACCACAGCGGCCGACATATTTATATTTTAATAACAAATAATATTAAAAAACTAGCAATACCCGGCGCGCGTTGCTACGCCAATGAAAAACACAAGTATTTAGAGTTTTGACATTGAATACCTTTTTATTTACTTCAATACTATGGTATAAACAATATTTTTAGTTGTTTCATTTGTTGTGTAAATATATAAATTTTGTGGTGTCCCAACTCGTGAACGGCCGACGTATAATTGGCCATGTGAAAAGCTCGAATTTTTCAAATCCAAACCCGCGATAGTTAATGATTGCCCTTGTGCTTTATTTATAGTTATTGCAAAGGGCAATACACAAAGGGAATTAAAGCCGCTTGAATTCGAACGGCAAGTCGTTGGAAATCATCGGTTTACGTGGAATCACCACATCTCCGCCTTCGAATTTACCGCAGATGATTGTTCCTCGATCAAATTCTGTGGTAATTTTTTTATTATCACTCTGATTTCGTTGCACAGCTTTGGCGCGATCAAGTTCCGAATAAGTATCACTGGTGGCTCCAAAGAATTAAGAAATTCAGTTCGGTAATTAACAGCTTGATCTTTGTCCATTTGTCCGTTTAATTTACTAACATTATCGTTCTTCGGAGCTAAAATTCCACGTTCGCAGAGCCATTCCGTATTTCGGTAGTTGATCGCTAAGTTCGGAAATACTCAGTCGATGACGTCTTGAATGCTCTGCTGAATTTGACAAAAGTTGGAAGGAAATGATATCTCATTTGTTGTGCGATCAATAGGAACTTCACCGTTACTGATATCAAAAAGTTACTTTGAAAATATTTGGGCAGACGTATCTTGCAGCAAATTCTCTCGCATATTTATTGTGAGCGTAATTTTTTCGACATAGTTCCACAAACGCGATGCCTTTAACCACGCGTTCAGCTCGTCTGCAGGCGTTGATCGTGGTATAACGGGTAATCTTTGACGAAAATCACCTACAAGGAGTTCAAGAGCGCCTCCTCTCGGTTGGTCGTTTCCACGAAAATCTTGAAGAGTTCGGTCAAGTGCTTCGAGCGATTTCTTATGTGCCATGGTGCATTCGTCCCAAATTATAATTTTGCACGTTTTAAGGACTATGGCCATACCAAAGCTTTTGCTGATGTTGCATGTAGGTGTTTCGGTCTGGTTCAAATTCAATGAAAGCTTAAGTGCTGAATGCGCTGTACGTCCGCCATCAAGTAGTGTTGATGCAATCCCCGATGATGCTATTGCTACTGCAATCCCATTTCGCATTCGAACTGTCGCCAATATTAAATTGATGAGGAAAGTTTTCTCGGTACCTCCTGCAGCATCTAGGAAGATAATTCCGCCACCTCCTTTGGTTACCCGTTTCATGATTTTGTCACAAGCTTTTTTTCTGAACAGCATCTAAAAACTCTTTTTGCGTTTGCACAAATCGTTCCAGCTGATTTGCACCAAACTGCTGTTCTCGCATCAAGTCTCTAACTTGTACAGCATTTCTATCTCGTGTCGGTGCTGGCGTACCGCGTTGACAAAGAGCTTTGTTGTTGATTGGCATGCATAAGTCCTGCATTAATATTAAAGCTTTATGAGGTGGGTTTTATCGAAGGCTGAGGTAGCTCAGCCGCTCCAGGGTTGAGTGGAGGTCCCACTAACCCCCACTGAATAAAATAAACACAGTAGTTAAATATAGCGAACACAACCACACACACACGCGGCCGTTCGGCCAGGCTGCCGGTACCCTGACGTCCTCGAAGAGAGGGGAGAGAGAGAGCGACTAACTGGTCGGCGATCGGTGCCGTGGCTCAGAGAGCGGAGACTGTCTAGTGGCTAGTGACGGTGGCGGTGATGTTGAGAGCGGTGACGGTGAGAGCGGTGATGGTGCGGTGATTAATGACAGTGAGAGCGGTGGCGAGCGTGATGAGGGTAAATGCCCACAGCACGGGTACTGCAGCCAATGAGAGCGACGATGCTGATCGTGATGGCAGTAGCAGTCCCTTTAGTAGTGACGGCCCTGCGGTGCTGTTGACGGTGGCCCAAATAGTGCTGAGGGCGGTAGCGACCTCCCGTAGTGAGAGCAGTATTGGCGGCCCTAGTTATAACAACGGGCCTCTGATGAGTAACGGCGGTGACAGCGGCCCTGGATGGCGATGATGTCAGCGGCAGACAGTAAGTAGCGGTCCTCGGTAGCGGTTTGGCCTAGGGGGCGGCAATGATATTGGCGGCCCAATGGTGAGTAAAGCGGCAGTCCGGCCCTAATGATGCACGACGGTGACAACGGCCCTGGATGGCGATGATGTTGCTAGCGGCCCTGAAAGGTGGCGGCTCTTGGTGTTGCGTTCGGCCTGGGGCGGCAATGATATTGGCGGCCCAATGGTGAGGAAGGCGGCAGTCCGGCCCTAATGAAGGACGACGGTGACAGCGGCCCTGGATGGCGATGATGTTGCTAGCGGCCCTCGTTAATGATAGTCGGTGGTGGTTCCTTGCTGTAGTCTTGGCCCAGGGCGGCACTTAATATTGGCGGTCCGAAATGGTCACGGAGGTCACCTACGGAAGCTGCGGAAGCTGGTCGTCAATATGTTCTCACAAACCACCAACCTGTCCCGCAGGCAGAGCCTGGGGCGCTCGAGGTTACACGGCCTAATCCGTCCCGATGCGCTCCGTGCCTACCTACGGCAGCTTGGTCAGTCTGTATTCCCCATGTGCAGAGCCAGGGGCGCTCGAGGTTACACGGCCTAAGCCGTCCCGATGCGCCCCGTGCTTACCCATTGGGGTGAGACGGTACGTATTCAATCGTGGTGGCTTGACATTGTGGGGCGGTTTTATCCACCACACAATGCCTGCTCGCCACGCGGTATCGAAGTGGGCAGGAGAGTTCGTCTCGTATGGTTGTATGTATGCATGTAGATCTGTATGTATGTATATAAATATGTAGCGTATGTATGGCTGGATGTGGATATGTATGTACGTATGTATGTACTTGTGGGTTTTATGTATGCATGTACGTATGTCTGTCAGTGTAGCGTAGGGGAGCTACGTTACAGCTTCATTGAA